CATATAATCAGTAATTGGTGGACCTGGGAGTAGGAAGGCACCCAGGGTTTAGGATTCTAAATCTAATGCTAACTCCGGATCACCATGCTGTTTCTCTGTGAAGGGAGGAATCGTGTTTGCAACGTTTTTATGTCAACAGCCAGTGTAGTTCCTGTCCTTATTAGATAAACATATATTTTCTGATTTGAAAAAATAGCAGTCATATATTTGATGAGAGTGGACATTAAAATTCTTAATCATTGGACTTCCCTGGCAGGCCAGTAGCTAAGACACTGCACTCCCAATGCAAGGGGCCCGGGTTCAATCTCTGGTCTGGGAACTTGATCCCGCATGCCACAACTAAAGATCCTGCATGCTGCAACTAAAAAGATGCAGCAATGAAGATCCCACGTGCCGCAACTAAGACCTGAGGCAGCCAAATAAATATTAAAAAAAAAATTCTTGGGCTTCCCTGGTGGTGCAGTGGTTGAGAGTCTGCCTGCCAATGCAGGGGACACGGGTTCGTGCCCTGGTCCAGGAAGATCCCACATGCCGCGGAGCAGCTAGGCCCGTGAACCATGGCCGCTGGGCCTGCGTGTCCGGAGCCTGTGCTCCTCAACGGGAGAGGCCACAACAGTGAGAGGCCCGCGTACGTAAAAAAAAAAAAAAAAAAAAAAAAAAAAAATTCTTAATCGTTAATTTCAAATAATAAGTCCTCTAATTTCTGTTTAAGCTTTGCTTTCTTGCCTCCTGATTTCTTACCAAATAATTTCTCTTGGACTCAAAGTCTCATATATTGACCCCAAGTCCTTATAGTAAAAATATCAGTATGAACTACTTGGAACTCGTGTTTTTTTTCATTAGCTATGGAGAGGTATGTTTTCCTGTTTAATTCATATAGATTAATGTCATAGCAAAGTAAGAGTATTTTTCTTCCTTTTACAGAAGTTTCAGTAATTTGATTTATGTTCTTGGGCATATATAAGACCTGTTCCAAATTTCTTTTTCTTATACTAGAATTCTAACAATGTATGAACAAACAGATATAACCAAAGAATTTAGAATAATCATGAAACAGAAAGCTGGAAGAAATAGAAAGAGCTGAATAGATGGGAATCTTAAGAAGGTGCCTGTATAGCAATTGGAGAAAATTGTGATAGTATCTTTGACCCTGTTTCTAAATATGGTGTGGAATGAAGGCATCTTCAGAAGAGGTCTCTTCCCCTTTGATTTCTGGAACCCTGGATGCGTGGTGCTGTCTGACAGACAGTTCTATTTCTGTTGCCCAATCTTTTATGGAGATTTGCCAGGCAGTAATACAGTAGGTTCAACTGAGGATGTGTACTCTGAGCCCACATCACTAGCACATGTGTGTTTCTAGAACATGCCAAAAACTTTGTAGCAACCCTATCATTTCATTTTCTTAGGTGCTCAAATAATTTAATTAGTGGTGTTGTTATATTCATCATATTTAAAGTTTATTAACTACCAAGTAACTAATATGAATAATAAAATTTATGTAAGGAATAAGGAGTTATAATACAGTAGGATCTATGTACCCACCATGGAGTTTAAGATAAAGAACATTAGCATTACCTTGAAGGCCCCCTATGAGCTCCTCTGCATCCTGTTCCCTCCCCTCCTCTTTCAGAGTTAGCCACTGTCCTGGATTTGGGGTTTATCATTCCTTTGCCTTTCTTTATACTTTTAGCACATACATATTAATCTCCACACAGTATCTTGTTTTGCTTAGAATCATACTGTATGTGTTCTTTGAACTTACTTTTTCACTCAACATTGTGGTCCTGAGATTGATCTATTATTATTGCATGTGTCTGTAATTCATGTTCACGTGAATATAGTATCCCATTATGTGAATGTATAATAATTTATGCATCTGTTCTGATACTGGACCTTTGGGTTGTTTCCAGGTGTTTACTATTACAAGCAGTGCTGTAAGAACATTTACATATAATATTGATATTTAATATTGCTTAGAAAGGGAATATTGGCTTTTGGAGGAAGTCAGGCTTATTTGCATATGATAGGGTAAGGCATCTTTCTTCCCATTCCTACGGGGAAATATCCTCCAGTAGGAGAACTGAGCTCAGTGTAGACATGCTACTCTTTTATCTGCAGATTTCCAGTTATTCTCTATATTTGAAATGCTGTAAGCTAGCAGGGTGTCAGCCTGTGTTTGACCATCGGGGCAGAGGCTGACGATGCTGTGCAACCCTACTAATAAAGTCTCTTTTTAAAAAGAGACCAGTAAAAGAAGCCCTGAGACTTATTTTTTACAGCCTGGAAGCTGTCACTGAGTCCTTAAATTGAAGCATGCCATTGGGCAGTGATGCCCTAATGGAGGAAGAAGTACAGAACAGAGTCAAGGGTGTCCTTTGGGAAGCTGACAGTCTGTTTCGAATGTACTATCAAACTGCAGTGAGACGGAACTGAAGACCTGCAAAGCACAGGCACACTTTCTGTGAGACGTGGGACTTGCCACAAATGCCACATCTGGCCTCTTGAGCAGTTTCCTTCAGACCGTTTATGAGCCCGTCAGAATACTGAGTGGCAGGACAAGGTCAGCAGCAGCAAACACCTGGAGTGCAGCCTGTGAACGAGCTTTGACATAATTCTCGCAGCACAGCTTTACTGAACTGGCTGTGTGTGCAATGTGGGCTGCAAGCAGGACTCCTCAGTGACCGCTAAATAGCAAGCTGAGGCGGGAAAGCACAAGCTGAGGAGGCAGAAGAAATGTTTCCAGAGTCCCTGCAGTTCACCCCTCGTCAGCGAGGCCACCGAGCAGCCTGGCACGCAGCTGTAAGGACGGGCTTGCTGTGTGAGCAAGAGCTTCGGGCTGACTGTGCCTCCGGAAAGCAGGACCACAAACAATGACAGACTATTTAAATAGCAGGCGCAGCTGCTAGCAGAAGGGCAGACTTGACGTGTGTTCTGTGTGGAAGAGATTGTCAGCCGCTTTTTATTGTCTTTGGCCAGGAATCCAATTCAGGAAAGACATTATACATACACAGATATATATATATATATATAAAACAGTAAAGTTCTGCTCTACTACTTTATACCTCTTCATCAAAACCAAACAGAGGGCTTCCCTGGTGGCGCAGTGGTTGAGAGTCCACCTGCCTATGCAGGGGATGCGGGTTCGTGCCCCGGTCCTGGAAGATCCCACATGCCATTCAGCGGCTGGGCCCGTGAGCCATGGCCGCTGAGCCTGCGCGTCTGGAGCCTGTGCTCCGCAGCGGGAGAGGCCACAGCAGTGAGAGGCCCGCATACCGCAAAAAAAACCCAAAACAAAACAGAAATTCGTTCAAAAAACAATGGTTGCAATGAAATACTAGGAATAGAGCAACATAACATTTTTAGTTTTTTAGTCTTTACCAGTCTCATTACATTTTTACCTTATTGACAGAATACTTAAAAGACTAATAATGCGCTAGAACCAAAACCATAATAATACCTTTAAATTTGAGAATGCCTTATAACTATTTCACTATACACGATTTTCAAGTTCCTTTCCTGTGGATTTTTTCCCCACAAGATTGCTTATTCATCTTTGTCTCCTCCTAGGGCCTAGCACAGTAGAGGATATATACCTCCTAACAGGTGTGGGTGTTCAGTAAATAACTGTTTAACTGGATTGGACTCCAAGGATTCAGATGTCAGTGTATGGTAACCTAGTAGAAAGACGTACACTTTTCACCAGCCTCTCTCATCCTCAGCACTTTCATGTAGCGGTCTAATTCCAGTAGTCTGAAGATGCTGCAATATGTTAACTATTTTTTACCTTGAGTTTTCAACCTTCCTGGTTTTCATCCATTTTCCTGTTTTCCTGAGTTCATTGAGTAATACACATGTGAGACTTTTTCTGATACCAGGAAGAGAAACTCCGTGATGAGTTAGATGAATTAAAAGCATGAAGCTGGAAAAGGGATAAGAATAGATTTTGGCACATGGGTGGAAAAGGAACACACATATGGAATGTGAAGGGATGCAAATACAGGCAGAGCTGTAAAGAGAGTAAAGGTAGGAAAACAGAGGCAGAGGCAGTTCAGGGCGGAAGAACTAAAAGCTTAGACACAAAGTGATGGAGTCTCCCCCAACACCCAGAGAGAGGCAAATAAATACTGTTCTGAGAAGCCCCATAATTCCACTATTTGAAGAAGACATGTTTCACATTACGTTAGACAAAATATGCCACTTTGTAAGCATAATTATATTTATGTATTTATCAAAATTCTTTTTTAAAATTGCTGTATAATTGACATGTATTACATTAGTTTCAGGTGTACAACATAATGATTCAATATTTGTGTATATTGTGAAATGATCACCACCACAAATAGAATTAACATCCTTTGCCACATATAGTTATCAAAATTCTTGATTCCCATTTGGGGGCCTGTATAATTTGAATGATCCTGTGATTTTTGACACCCTCAAAGCATGAGTAATATTTTTACACATAAACTTTGCCCATAAATTAAGAAGATTTCATTAAGCCCTGCTGTTTGTAATTTGATGAATGAAATGGTTTTTCCAACATGGAAGCAGAGAAAATCATTTTGGTTGTAAAGGATAAACTAGTAAGCTATGCAAATAAATATATTTTGAATTCTTGTCCTTTCAGCTTTTAATGATTTTTTTTTAAAGTTACTTATTTGGCTTAGGACAGTAATGAATAAAGGAATTGATTTTCTGTTAACACTATTAAGGTTATTAGATAGGAATAGACTGTATTGCCCTCTATTGGTGAATGTTATTTTTGACAAAATAATTGCTGCTGTATGTGTCATTTATACGTATTTAATGTTTGTATCAACCAGTATACTTTACAGAAAAGCACTTTAAAAACTGACCTAAGAGTTGTAGCCGTGAATTGGCAAAAGGGGGAAAAATTGACCTTGTGGGCTTATTGATTTAATAGTTTTATTGACTAATGTAGTATTGAAATACTTTTGCCTTTGATTAATTTTAATTTTATGTATTTATTTTTTTGTCAGAGCTCCACCTCAGATAAGGCGTCCCAATCGAGAAGTAAGACCTCTGAGGAAAGAAATGCCAGGAGGAGGAGCCCGGGGACCTGTAGGCCGAGCACATCCTATATCAAAGAGTGAAAAACCCTCTACAAGTAGGGACAAGGATTGTAGAGCAAGAGGGAGAGATGACAAGGCAAGACTACCTCTTTGTAACCCACTCACTTTAAGCCCGTGATGTTTGTTGCTTATTATACTTTTAGTGGGCTTTTCAGAGGACGCTGGTTTTGACATGGAAGAGGTTTTTTAAAAAACTTTGAATCAAAAACCTATGCAGTCTTTGCATTTTGAAGGCCATTCTGTACTGTCAGTAACCTCAGAGGTGTATATATTTCTTAACACACACACACAGAAATCTTAAGTAAAATGGAGCTTTTCATTCTTTGAATTTCAAAATTGTATTAAATATCATCACAATTCTGATAATTAAAGATAAAAAATGACAAAATTAAATAGGAAATAATTTTGAATCTTAAATAGTAGTCCACGTTCACTTAGAGGAGGATGAGGAGGTAGTTTGTATTTTCTTTTTTTCCCACCCCCCTGCGGCTTTCCCCCTTGGTGTCCATACGTTTGTTCTCTACATCTATGTCTCAACTTCTGCCCTGCAAACAGGTTCATCTGTACCATTTTTCTAGGTTCCACATACATGCGTTAATATACGATATTTGTTTTTCTCTTTCTGACTTACTTCACTCTGTATGACAGTCTCTAAATCCATCCACGTCTCAACAAATGACCTAATTTCATTCCTTTTTATGGCTGAGTAATATTCCACTGTATATATGTACCACATCTTCTTTATCCATTCCTCTGTCGATGGGCATTTAGGTTGCTTCCATGACCTGGCTATTGTAAATAGGGCTGCAGTGAACATTGGGGTGCATGACTCTTTCTGAATTATGGTTTTCTCTGGGTATATGCCCAGTAGTGGGATTGCTGGATCATATGGTAATTCTATTTTTAGTTTTTTAAGGAACCTCCGTACTGTTCTCCATAGTGGCTGTACCCATTTACATTCCCACCAAGAGTGCAAGAGGGTTCCCTTTTCTCCACACCCTCTCCAGCATTTGTTGTTTGTAGATTTTCTGATGATGCCCATTCTAACTGGTGTGAGGTGATACCTCATTGTAGTTTTGATTTGCATTTCTCTAATAATTAGTGATGTTGAGCAGCTTTTCATGTGCTTCTTGGCCATCTGTATGTCTTCTTTGGAGAAATGTCTATTTAGGTCTTCTGCCCATTTTTTGATTGGGTTGTTTATTTCTTTAATATTGAGCTGCATGAGCTGTTTATATATTTTGGAGATTAATCCTTTGTCCGTTGATGCGTTTGTGAATATTTTCTCCCATTCTGAGGGTTGTCTTTTCATCTTGTTTATGGTTTCCTTTGCTTTGCAAAAGCTTTTAAGTTTCATTAGGTCCCATTTGTTTATTTTTGTTTTTATTTCCATTACTCTAGGAGGTGGATCAAAAAAGATCTTGCTGTGATTTATGTCAAAGAGTGTTCTTCCTATGTTTTCCTCTAAGAGTTTTATAGTGTCTGGTCTTAGATTTAGGTCTCGAATCCATTTTGAGTTTATTTTTGTGTATGGTGTTAGGGAGTGTTCTAATTTCATTCTTTAATGTGTAGCTGTCCAGTTTTCCCAGCACCACTTATTGAAGAGACTGTCTTTTCTCCATTGTATATCTTTGCCTCCTTTGTCATGGATTAGTTGACCATATGTGCGTGGGTTTATCTCTGGGCTTTCTATCTTGTTCCATTGATCTATGTTTCTGATTTTGTGCCAGTACCATATTGTCTTGATTACTGTAGCTTTGTAGTATGGTCTGAAGTCAGGGAGTCTGATTCCTCCAGCTCCGTTTTTTCCCCTCAAGACTGCTTTGGCTATTCGGGGTCTTTTGTGTCTCCATACAAATTTTGAGATGATTTGTTCTAGTTCCGTAAAAAATGCCATTGGTAATTTGATATGGATTGCATTGAATCTGTAGATTGCTTTGGGTAATATAGTCATTTTCACAATATTGATTTTTCCAATCCAAGAACGTGGTATATCTCTCCATCTGTTTGTATCATCTTTAATTTCTTTCATCAGTGTCTTATAGTTTTCTGCATACAGGTCTTTTGTGTCCCTAGGTAGTTTATTCCTAGATATTTTATTCCTTTTGTTGCAGTGGTAAATGGGAGTGTTTCCATAATTTCTCTTTCAGATTTTTCATCATTAGTGTATAGGAATGCAAGAGATTTCTGTGCATTAATTTTGTATCCTGCAACTTTACCAAATTCATTGATTAGCTCTAGTAGTCTTCTGGTGGCATTTTTAGGATTCTCTGTGTATAGTATCATGTAATCTGCAAACACTGACAGTTTTACTTCTTCTTTTCCAATTTGTATTTCTTTTATTTCTTTTTCTTCTCTGATTGCTGTGGCTAGGACTTCCAAAACTATGTTGAATAATAGTGGTGACAGTGGACATCCTTGTCTCATTCCTGATCTTAGAGGAAATGCTTTCAGTTTTTCACCATTGAGAATGATGTTGGCCGTGGGTTTGTCATATATTATTATGTTGAGGTAGGTTCCTTCTTTGCCCACTTCTTGGAGAGTTTTTATCATAAATGGGTGTTGAATTTTGTCAAAAGCTTTTTCTGCATCTATTGAGGTGATCATATGGTTTTTATTCTTCAATTTGTTAATATGGTGTATCACATTGATTGATTTGCATATATTGAAGAATCCTTGCATCCCTGGGATAAATCCCACTTGATCATGGTGTATGATCCTTTTAATGTGTTGTTGGATTCTGTTTGCTAGTATTTTGTTGAGGATTTTTGCATCTATATTCATCAGTGATATTGGTCTGTAATTTTCTTTTTTTGTAGTATCTTTGTCTGGTTTTGGTATCAGGGTGATGGTGGCCTCATAGAATGAGTTTGGAGTGTTCCTTCCTCTGTAATTTTTTGGAAGAGTTTGAGAAGGATCGGTGTTAGCTCTTCTCTAAATGTTTGATAGAATTCACCTGTGAAGCCCTCTGGTCCTGGACTTTTGTTTGTTGGAAGATTTTTAATCACAGTTTCAATTTCATTACTTGTGATTGGTCTGTTCATATTTTCTGGTTTCTTCTGGTTCAGTCTTGGAAGGTTATACCTTTCTAAGAATTTGTCCATTTCTTCCAGGTTGTCCATTTTGTTGGCATAGAGTTGCTTGTAGTAGTCTCTTAGGGTGCTTTGTATTTCTGTGGTGTCTGTTGTAACTTCTCCTTTTTCATTTCTAATTTTATTGATTTGAGTCCTCTCCCTCTTTTTCTTGATGACTCTGGCTAATGGTTTATCAATTTTGTTTATCTTCTCCAAGAACCAGCTTTTAGCTTTATTGATCTTTGCTCTTGTTCTCTTTGTTTCTATTTCATTTATTTCTGCTCTGATTGTTATGATTTCTTTCCTTCTGCTAACTTTGGGTTTTGTTTGTTCTTCTTTCTCTAGTTCCTTTAGGTGTAAGGTTAGATTGTTTATTTGAGATTTTTCTTGTTTCTTGAGGTAGACCTGTATGACTATAAACTTCCCTCTTAGAACTGCTTTTGCTGTATCTCATAGGTTTTGGATCATCGTGTTTTCATTGTCATTTGTCTCTAGGTATTTTTTGATTTCCTCTTTGATTTCTTCAGTGATCTCTTGGTTATTTAGTAACGTATTGTTTAGCCTCCATGTGTATGTGATTTTTACATTTTTTTCCTTGTAATTCATTTCTAATCACATAGTGTTGTGGTCAGAAAAAATGCTTGATATGATTTCAATTTTCTTAAATTTACTGAGGCTTGATTTGTGACCCAGGATGTGATCGATCCTGGAGAATGTTCCATGCGCACTTGAGAAGGAAGTGTAATCTGCTGTTTTTGGATGGAATGTCCTATCAGTTAAATCTATCTGGTCTATTGTATCATTTAAAGCTTCTGTTTCCTTATTTATTTTCATTATGGATAATCTGTCCATTGGTGCAAGTGAGGTGTTAAAGTCCCCCACTATTATTGTGTTACTGTCGATTTCCTCTTTTATAGCTGTTAGCAGTTGCCTTATGTATTGAGGTTCTCCTATGTTGGGTGCATACATATTTATAATTGTTATATCTTCTTGGAATGATCATTATGTAGTGTCCTTCCTTGTCTCTTGTAACATTCTTTATTTTAAAGTCTATTTTATCTGATATGAGTATTGCTACTCCAGCTTTCTTCAGATTTCTGTTTGCCTGGAATATCTTTTTCCATCCCCTCACTTTCAGTCTGTATGTGTCCCTAGGTCTGAAGTGGGTCTCTTGTAGACAGCATATATATGGCTCTTGTTTTTGTATCCATTCAGCAAGCCTCTGTCTTTTGGTTGGAGCATTTAATCCATTCGCGTTTAAGGTAATTATCGATATGTATGTTCCTATTACCATTTTCTTAATGGTTTTGTTTTTGTGGATCCTTTTCCTCTCTTGTGTTTCCCACTTAGAGAAGTTCCTTTAGCATTTGTTGTAGAGCTGGTTTGGTGGTGCTGAATTCTCTTAGCCTTTGCTTCTCTGTAAAGCTTTTGATCTCTCCATTGAATCTGAATGAGATCCTTGCGGGGTAGAGTAATCTTGATTGTAGGTTCTTCCCTTTCATCACTTTAAGTATATCATGCCACTCCCTTCTGGCTTGTAGAGTTTCTGCTGAGAAATCAGCTGTTAACCTTATGGGAGTTCCCTTGTATGTTATTTGTCGTTTTTCCTTTGCTGCTTTCAATAATTTTTCTTTGTCTTTAATTTTTGCCAGTTTGATTACTATGTGTCTTGGCGTGTTTCTCCTTGGGTTTATCCTGTATAGGACTCACTGCGCTTCCTGGACTTGGGTGGCTATTTCCTTTCCCATGTTAGGGAAGTTTTCGACTATAATCTCTTTGAATATTTTCTTTGGTCCTTTCTCTCTCTCTTCTCCTTCTGGGACCCCTATAATGTGAATGTTGTTGCATTTAATGTTGTCCCAGAGGTCTCTTAGGCTGTCTTCATTTCTTTTCATTCTTTTTTCTTTATTGTGTTCTGCAGCAGTGAATTCCACCATTCTGTCTTCCAGGTCACTTATCTGTTCTTCTGCCTCAGTTATTCTGCTATTGATTCCTTCTAGTG